CAAGCAGTATAACAGTCAGCTGGCTGAGCTTAGAGCCTGGATTAGTACGTGGAACTGCAATGTTGTAGCCATTTCAGAAACTTGAGACCAGGCCAGGACTGGTAGCTCAGGGTCCCAGGGTTTAGACGTTGCATGCATGATGGAAAGGGATGTAAAAGGGGTGGGGGAGTTGCATGACTCAATAAGGAGAATGTCACAGCTGCACCAAGAGAGGACATCTTGGAGGGTTCATTCCATGAAGTCATATAGGTAGAAGTCAAGAATAAGGAAGGTGCAGTCACTATGATGAGTCTATACTATAGGCCTCCCAATAGCCATCAGGAGATAGAGGAGCAGATCATGGAAAGATGTAAAAACAACATGGTTATTGTAGTGGGTGATTTTAACTTCCCCGCTATTGATTGGGACTCCCTTAATGTCAGGGGCTTAGAGCGCAATTTGTTAGGTGCATCCGGGAGGGTTTCTTGAAATAGTATGTAGACAGTCCAATTAGGGAAGGGGCTGTACTAGACCTTGGATTGGGAAATAAGTCTCGCCAGGTAATTGAAGTATCGGTGGGGGTGGGGATGGGGACATTTTGGGAACAGTGATCATAATTCCGTTAAGTTTTAAGATACTTAAGGATAAGATTAGTCCCCGGGTGGAAGTGCTGGATTGGGGGAAGGCTGATTATAACAGTGCAGGAACTGGAGAATTTTGATTGGGGACAGTTGTTTGAGGGTAAATCCACGTCTGACATGTGGAAGTCTTTTAAAGGCCAATTGATCAGAGTTTAGGACCAGCATGTTACTGTGAGGATGACAGTTAAGGGTGGCAAGATTCAGAAACCTGGATGATGAAATATTGAAAGTTTAGTCAAAAACGAGAAAGGAAGCCTGTATAAGGTTTAGGAAACTGAAATCGGACAAGGCCCTTGAATATAAAGGAAGCAGAAAAGAACTTAAAAAATAACTTAAAAGGGACCATGAAATGTTCATGGTAAGTAGAATTAAGGAGAATCCCAAGGCATCATATACTTGTGTTAGGAACAAGAGGGTAGCTAGGGAAAGGATAAGTCCACTCAAGGATGGAATTTATTTGGAGCCCAAGGAATTGATGTTGGGTGTCTTGAAAAGCATTAAATTAGATAAGCCCCAGGGCCTGATGAGATCTATCCCAGGATAATAAGGGAGGCAAAGAAAGAGATTACAGACGCCTTTACAGAGATCTTTCTATCTTCTTTAGCCACAGGCAAGGTTCCAGAAGATTAGACAATAGTCAATGTTGTTCCTCTGTTTTAAGAAGGACAACCGGGAGAATTGTAGGCCAGTAAGCCTTAAATCAGTGATCGGGATATTTTTAGCGAAGATTCTCGGACAGTATTTACTCATAATTGGAAACTAATGCACTTATTAGGGAGAGTCTGCATGGCTTTGTGCAGGGGAGGTTTATCTTTCAAATTTGATTGTATTCTTTTGAGGAATTGATGAAGATGATTGAAGGTAGGGCAGTAGATGTTGTCCACATGGAATTTACTAAAGTGTCTGACATGGTAGGCTGATCCACAAGATTAAGCCACAAAGGATCCACTATGAGTTGGTAAGTTGGATACAAAATTGTTTTGGTCGTGGAAAACCGGGTAGTTGTGGAGGGGTGTTTTTTGCTAAGAGGACGTCTGTGATCAGCAAGGATCAGTGCTGGGACCTCTATTGTTTGTAATATAAACAAATGATTTGGATGAAAATGTAGGTGGTCTGATTAGTAAGTTTGCAGATAACATAAAAATTGGAGGAGATGTGGATTGTGAGGAAGGTTACAGTAGGATATAGATCATTTGGAAAGTTGAACAGAAAAGTGGCAGATGAAATTTAATCCAGACAAGTGTCACATGATGCATTTTGGGAGGCCGAATGCAAGAGCAGAGTATATAGTAAATGGCAGGAAGTTTAGGAGCATTGATATATACAGGGATCTTAGGGTGCACGTCCACAGTACTCTGAAAGTGTGGTAAAGAAGGCATTGGGCATGCTTGCCTTCATTGGTTGGGCATTGAGAATAAAAATTGGCAAGTTAGGTTTCATCTGTATAAAACATTAGTTAGGCCTCATTTGGAATGTTATGTGCAGTTCTGGTTGCCACACTGTAGAAAGGATGTGGCTGCTTTGGAGAAGGTGCAGATGAGGTTTACCAAGATGTTGCCTGGATTGGAGTATATTAACTATAAGGAGAGGTTGGACAAACTTAGACTGTTTTGGCTGAGGCTGAGGGGTGACCTGATAGAAGTATATAAAATCGTGAGGGGCATGGAAAGAGTGGATAAACAGTGTCTTTTTCCCAGAGTGGAAAAGTCAACTACTAGTTTAAGGTGAGAGGGAGAAAGATGAAAGGAAATGTACGAGATAAGTTTTTTTTATGCAGAGGGTGCCATGAGAGGTGGTAGAAGCAAATACGCTTGCAGGGTTTAAAGGACACTTAGACAGACACGTGAAAGACTGGGAATAGATGGTTACAGACCATGTGCAGGCAGATGGGGTTAGTATAGAATGATATCATGTTCGGCACGTATATGGTGGGCTGTAGGATCTGTTCCAGGTCAAGATAGCAGCTGAGTAATAGGACTTCCTGCATGTTTGCTTTCTTTCTTTTTCTTCCTTTTTACTTCTCTTTTTGTTTCACATTTTTGTTTATTTCATTTTTCCTTGGAGCCTTTTGTTGTGGGTTAGTCAGTGAAATGGGCACGGCAGCTAGAGCGGCTCCTCCTGACAGTAGGCGTGTATCCTCACGGTGGCTGGAAGCGCTGGTGGCAGCAGCAACAGAGATGTCCTCCTGGCGTTCGGGACTGGTGTCAGGAGCAGCAGCGGCAAAGCTCCTCCAGCGATTGGAGGCAGCAGTGGCAGCAGACTTTTCAAGATGGCAACACTAGCAAGGCGACATCTCAGAGGAGGGCAGAAGGTGTGGGACTCTTAGCAAGACGGCAGTGGCAGCCTGGTCTGGATGGGGATCCAGGGATTTCTAGATGCAGTACAACGGGATCTCCTAGCACTGGCACGGCAGCAGCATGGTAAGTGTGGAGCTGGGACTCCTGGTTATGGGGCGAGTGTGGTTTCAGCCCAGGACCCAGCATCAGCAGCGTTGGCAAGGTGAACCCAGCAGTGAAGGGTGCCTCAAGAATGGTGACTCCTACTTTGGTGTGTCTAGCGCAGGCCTTGTTGAAGCTTTGGAAAAGGGGTGGCAGCACAGGTGTCGTTGGTGATCTGGCTCTGGACTCTCTCTTTCAGTTATATCACTTGTCCTTTTTATTTTTAAACTATTCAAAATGGCACTGCATTGTGCCAACTGTTGAAGTTTTCCATTTGCATTTTACAGTGAAAAATACAGTAAAATACAGTGACTAATCATTCATTCATTCATTCTGTACCTATGCTGTACTGTTCTATGTTCTATAGCGCATCACTTAAAATCTTTGGTCTGTAGTTTAAATTTACAATATCGATCATCTCAATTTATCAGAGAATAAACCAGGAATCGACACATTCCGTACACTACAGCAATGACTGAGCTTCAATAAGTAAGTATTTAGTTGTAAAAGTGCTTTGGGACATCCTAATGTTGTGAAAGGTGCTGTAAGAAGCCATGCCTTCTCTTCATTCTAAACTGAAAGGTAAATTTGAATTAGTCCCAAAGGAGCATAGGGCTGCTGTCTTATTAGAGTTGTGGTGGTTTAACCTGAGCATCACCACACCCCGGGAGAGGGGAACGGTTGAGAAGGACAAATTTCATGGTAACCTTAGCCAGTGCAGGAATTGAACCTCATGCTGTTGGTATCATTTTGCATTGCAATCCAGCTATCCAGCCGACTGAGCTAAGTGACACAGTTTAGAATAGCAGTGTAAAAAGCTGCTGATGTAACAAGTAGGGGCCAAACATAGTGCATGATTCATCTCTCATTGGAGTATCTGGATTATGCAGACTTTTCACAGCAGATGTAGGTACATAATCCATGCTGTTGTATTTGGAAGCTATTGCAAACACAAGTAGAAGCATACACACTTAAATCTACTTAAATCTACAATGAGTAAAATTGGAAGTAAAGCTCTTAAATTAATCATATAATTCCTTTTGCGTCCTCTCCAGTGCATTTTTGTAATATTGCATCAAAAATATGTTAAGTTAGCTGGGGTTTCTGCCTCTGTTTGCCATGGCTACTGGAAATGTTCGCAGTGGAACTGCGCACTCGGATTCCACAATTCTTCACTCGATTTAAGATGGCGAATACCAAAATTACTGGAGTGGGTACTGCTAGAGACCAAGAGTGGGCATAAATTCTGAGTCCAAAGTCATCTTTACAATCTTGGTTCTGTGGGTGGTACTGTACTTTCTGTGAGTGGGGTTCCAAACCCCATATCTAGGATGAAACTTTCAGCGAAACACTGAAGGAGTGCTGCATTGCCACAAGTGCCTTTCTTGGGACGTATTGCTAAACTAATACCCAATCTGTCCCCTCAGATGAACAAAATCACACGCCACTCTTGTAAAGAGAGAAGGATGAGTTCTTCATGGTGCCCAACCCAGTATTTAACCCTCAATCTAAATCTAAGAGCAAAAAATCTGTTCTCACGTGGCTTTTTATGAGAGTCTGCTGAATGCAAAGTGGCTGCTGTGTTTCCTACAATGGTGACTACACTCAAAATATATCAATTTGTTTGCAAATGAGTGTCCTTAGATTGTGACAGGTGTTTTCAAATTGTATATAGTTTCTTTCCAAAACTGTTTTTAAATGTCCAATTTAAATCAGCCCAAATCTTGCAGTATTGCAATAAACTGCAGAAGTAATGATGTGGTAATTTCTCAAGTCTCAATCTGGTCCTTAGGGAAATTCCCCAACTTCTTGAAATCTGAACGGATGTTTAATAAGGACTGAGACACTAGTCGCAAAAGATACTGTAGGATTACCAATGCCACCTGGATCCCGAGGGTTCGAGGAAGCAAATGGACCTGTTAGTTTTGTTCACTTTTTTCAGGTGGTGTGGATCCCAGTATTCGTAAGGATGTATGGAAGTTTCTGTTTGGGATGTATCCCTGCTCCTCCACAACTCGAGAGCGTAAAGTGCTGGCATTGGAGCGCTATGTTCGCTACAAGATGATGAAGTGTCGGTGGCAGACCCTAATGCCAAGTAGCAGGAGGATGAGGGTGGATGAGACTGACAGTAAGTATTGTCTCAATTGTGTGTTCTATATGGTAGTGGAAGACTGGAGTAGTTTCTTTTTGCTTTGTTTTCAAGTTTCACAGGGGAAAAATTAAACATAAGAGATGGGTCCCTTTAATCTACTTTGCAGTTCAAAGGTCATAGCTGACCACCTACATCAACTCTACTTTCCCTCTTGATCTCCTAATTCCTTGATTCCCTTAGAGATCCACTAATTTCAGACATGAACATGCTGATTGACTGAATGTTAGCAGGATAAGAGAATTCTGAAGATTCATAACCATCTCAATGAAAACATTCCTTCTCCTCTGTCTTCAGTGTTCTTATCCTGAGACTAATCCCTAAAGAGTGCTTATGAAAATTGAAGGAAGATTATTGGCTTAGTTTGGACTTTGTTGGAATGGGGCATCTCCAAGACTGCCCCCAGAAGTTCATTTCCCATTTTCCCTGCAACCGTGCTCCCATCCCATCCAAGCCAACAGCTCAAATGTAATTTTGTGTTGCAACGCACTACTAGCATGAACTGGCAATGGTATGACAAAGGGTTGGAGCATCTGGGATGAGTACAGTGGGGGAATCGGGTCTGATGCACAATCGGTGTACTGATATGGAGATGTAACGATTGGCCAGCTCATAAGAATGTTTAGCTGTAGTGACCCCTATATGATAACTTTGGGTTGGGTTGCAGATCTGCACGGACAGAATTTCAGTCTGAGACTTAATTTTGATAAATCTGTGCTGGAACAGTGTAAGTATAGAAGTTAGAATTGATCTACGTGTGTGCAGTTATTTTCTGATTGCCCCGATTCCCAGTTATGTATTTTTCAGCAGTTATGATTTATGATTGGTGCTGAACTATTAGTCTAATTTTAACCAGGCAAAAGAAGAATGTGCCTTTCTTTCAGAAAAATTGTCTTGTTCCTTAATTTAGGTTAAAATCATGGGGTGCTACAGCAAAATGGAGGCCATTGAACCCATGGGGGAAGAGTTGTATTTTTGTGAAATTTATTGAATTAATCCCACTCTACCTGCTGTTTCCCTGTAGCTTTGCAAAATTCCCTCTTTAAGTATCTATCTCATTCGTCTTTTTAAATGTTACTATTGAAACTGCTTCCACCATCCTTTAAGGCTGTGTTTCTTAAAAAAAAAATTCTCCTGTTTACTCTTTATGAAGAAGGGTCCTGACCAAAACGTTGCTGCCTGGCCTGCTATGTTCCTCCAGCTCCACACTGTGTCGTCTCTGACTTTAGTATCTGCAGTTCTTGGTATCTCTTCTGTTTGCTCTGTTGGGTTCTCTTTTGCCAATGTCTTTGCAATTTTAATTTCAAATCTTTTAATGCTCCTGTCACAAACAAGTAAAAATAGTGCCCTTAGACAGCCTTGTGAGTAATTTACCCATTCCTTCAGCACTATTTCATGATGGTCTATGTCAATCAAAGTGGCTTTGGTTCAGCAAACTGATCCATCTTTTGATCTTAATGAAATGCATGGCTGCGAGGATTAGCTGTTCAATTAATTTAATTCTCTTACTGGAGGCATATACCTGCACTGGAGACAGTTCACAAATTGTTCACCAGGTTGCTTCCTGGGAGGAGAGCTTTTCTTATGGGGGACGGTTTAGCAGGTTTAGCAGGTTGAGCGTATACTCGTGGTAATTATGAATAAGAGGTGATCTGATTGAAGCATATTGAGAAAGTTTTTTGACAGAATGGATACTGAGAGGATATTTCCCCTTTTGAGTGAGTCTAGAATGGGATGACAGTTTAAAGATTTGAGTTTTCCATTTTAATACTGAGTTAAGGAGACATCATTTCCCTGAGGTTCTTGATGAGTGGAATTCTTTTCCTGAAAAACCAGTGACAGCCGGGTCATTAAATTTATTCAAAGCTGAATTCAATAGAAAATTATTTATACGGAGTCAAGAGTTAAGGGGGGCAGAAAGGAAAGTGGAGTCAAAGCTACCAGTGATCGGTAGACTGGCAGACCTGGAACAAGGGATGAATGCAAGAATTTCTGCTATTTGTTTTTTTTATGGGGGTCAATCTCGATTAGTGCAAAATTCCCAAGGAATCTGGATGTTGCATATGGAATGAAATAAGTCAATCGAGGCAGTATTTCTTGGAATTCCTGTACCGTAACAATGATTGCATTGTAGATAATATGGTATAAGTTCTTTGCAAACTCAGGCCTTTCAATTGTTTGACAGACTGATTTGCGGAATCCTGAAACTCCTTTCTTAACAGCATCACAGGTGTACATTCACCTTCAGGCCTGCAATGGTTCAAGGATACCCCTTGCTATCATTCTCAGAGGGCAATGAGGAATGAAGAATAAATATTGCCTTTCCCGTGATGCTTACATCCCATGTAAGATGGAATCTTCACCCATAAGCTCTTCGGATGTGAAGCAGATTTAATTTTATTCTGAAGGGTACATCCATCCTGATTACCTGAACTTGTTTCAGTTGAGTGGTGTTGAAGTACTTTTTTGAATGTTAGTGCGGTAACCACACAGATTTCACACCTGTAATGAATTTTCAAACATATTCTTGAAATATTTTGATGTTTAGCTTGAACTGACGGGATAATCTATTGACGTGGCATTAGATCGGGATTATCAACTATTGTTGGACATACCATGGTGGCTTTGTTATGAAACCTCCAGACTCTTCACCTGATCAAATGTCTCCAATATGGAGAAGATATAGAGCTCAGAGAAGATGTAAAACTGTACATGCCTTTTACGAATGGCCCCATGATTTTCCTCCAGTGTTCCTCACTGTGTTATCCAGTAGATCAGACTTCATTTCCTGGAGTCTCCCTGGTAATCAACAATAACTTGCATGTGTATAGCCCCTTTAAACTTAGTTAAAAATGTCAAGGAGTATTGTCAAATGTAATTTGACATTTAGCTGCATTAGATGATTTTAGGTTAGGTTATCAGAAGCTCAGTCAAAAAGGCAAATTATAGTGAGTGTCTTGAAATGGGAGGCAGAGGCAGCTGAGGTTTAGGGAGGAAGCTAGGGTCCAGGCAACTGAAATGCAGCCGACAGTTATGGAGTAAATGGCCAGAACCTGCAGTCATGAGGATCTTGGTGAACTCTTGAGCTGGAAGAAGTCGTAGTAAGATGGTCTAAGAGGAAGAGGGCTAGGGCATGGGGAATTTGAAAACAGGTTGAGAATGTTAAAATCAGGATGATTGATAATCCTTCCTCAGGCAGAAACAGTGCAGGCAGTATCAGCTCCATACCAACTGCTGAGAATGATATCAACAGAGTGTGATGATATCCCACTCAATCTTGGCTTATTTCTGAAGTAGATGATGTGTGTTAGGCTGATCTCTGGTGTTTCTTGCTTTCTGTTTGTAGCACAGCTTTATGAAGCAGCTCTTGCTTATCAACAAAGGGGCAGTGGCTGCAATCTTAAAGGGCATGAAATGGATCTTTCGGAGGAAAAGACTGAGCAGATATCCTTCATAGAGCTGCAGGCAAAGGTCAGTTTCATAAATGGCATGGGATTTGCTTTTGCTTGTGGTAATGATAATACAATATCATTGATTAGACCACAGTTTAGAAACAAAGAAAACTAGAGACGAGTAGGCCATTCAACCCTTCAAATCCACTCTACTATTCAATATGATCATGGATGATTCTTCATTTCAATACCACATTGCCACCTTCTTTCCATTACCTTTGATGCCTTTAAGATCAGAAAGTTTATCATTCTCTTTCTTGAATATACTCAGTGGTCCAGCCTTCATATCCTTCTGATGTAGAGAATTCCACAGGTTGACCACCACCTTCAGAGTGAAGCAATGCTACTTCATCTTAGTCTAAAATGGCCTACCCCATATCCTGAGACGATGATCCCAGGTTCTAGATTTCGCAACCAGGGCTAAAGTCCTCCTAGCATCTAATGTGTTAGAATTTATATGTTTCAATCAGATCTCCTCTCATTCTTCTAAACTGTTCTAAATTCTAGTGAATGTAGGCCCAGTGACCCAAGCTGTCCTCTAAGGACAGTCCTGCCATTCCTGATATCAGTCTAGTGAGTTTCTGCTGCACTCCTCTATGGCAGGTATATCATCCCTTGGATAGGGAAACCAAAACTGCATATAGTACTTCAGGTGCAGTCTCACCACTGCCCTGTGTAACTGTAGTAAGATACTCCTATTTCTGAACTCTGATCCTCTTGCAATGAAGGCCAATGTGTACTATTGGCTTTCCTACTCATTGACTGGTGTACAAGGGCGCCAGGTTCCTTTGTGCGTCCACTTTCCAATACATCATCATTTAAATAATGCTGTATCTTTCTGTTACTCACACCAAAGATTTCATTATCTATCCATGTTATGTTGGATCTGCTATGTATAAGTTCACACTCAACTTGTCTGGATCGCCCTGAAGCCTCCTTGCACCATCTCTCAATTCACAATTGTGTCTAAGAGTGTCACCAGCAAAACTTGGAAATCTTAGATTTGGTTCCCTCATCTAGGTTTTAAATTTATATATATATGGGGCCCAAACACTAATCCCTGCAGTATTGGAAGTCACAGCCTGTCACCCAAAAAAAGACCCATGTATTCCACACTCTGTTTCTGGTCTGTAAGCCAATTCTCACTTCATGCAGGTATATTACCCCCAATACATGTTTTAATTTTGCCCACTAGTTTCCGATGTGGGACCTTATCAAAAGCTTTCTTCAAATCCAAATGCACCACATCCATTGCTTCTCCCTTATCAATTCCACTTGTTACATCCTCAAAAAATCCACTAGATTAGTTAATTATGATTTGCCTTTTATAAAACCACACTGACTAATCTCGTTAATGCTTTTCAAGTGTTCTGTATCACATCTTATTATAAAAGATTATAAATGACTGTGGCATTTTTCCCATGACTGATGTTAAGCAAACTGGTCTTTATTTCATTGTTTTTTCTCTCCCTTTTTTTAAATAGTGGGGTTACATTTGCCATCCTCCAACCTGTACGAACTTCTCTAGAGTCTACAAAATTTTGGAAGATGAGCACCAACGTGTCTAGTATTTCTAGGGTACTCTGGAACACAGATTATCAGGCACTGGGGATTTGGCAGACGTTAACACCATTAATTTCTTCACTTTTTTTCAAAACGAATACTAATTTTTTTTTCAACTCATCCCTCTCACTGGACCCTCGGTTCCCTAGCATTTCTTGGAAATTATTTAATGTCCTCCTTCGTGAAGTCAGAGGTGAAATATGTATTCAATTCTTCTGTCGTTTCTTTAAAAATATACTACCTGGAGCAGGAGGCTGCCATTCAACCCTTGAGTGTATTCTGCCATTCAGTTAGATCTGTCCTTCTATTTGTGTTGTGAAGTTAAAGATGCAATAACTGAATGTACATACTCAAGAGGAAGCATCAGAAATCTGTGATTTTAATAATCTGTTCTGAGTGATGCACCACCCATTGCCTAATGTGTTGAAACACTTCCACAAGTTTATCGCTCCCATTTAAAATTATGGCTGAAACTGCGGCTTTCAAGGTATTGGCATCTTCTTCATCCTGTAACTTGAATATATTCCACTTTCCATACAGGGGCACTTCCACTCCTGTTGCCTATTTATGAACAAAGCATTCAAAAGACGTTTTGAGTATAACTTAAGTGAAAGGCAAAAATATTAGATGTGCTAGAAATCTGAAATACCCCGTACATTCTCACATAAAAATAGAGCTGCTGTGACCAGATTTTTAGCAAAATAGTAGGGGATTGCCTTATACGTGAGGAATAATTCCAATGGATTTCCCTCTGCCTTGCTAGCCAATTGTTTACAGTGGTGTCATAGAATCCTAGAATCCCTCCAGTGTAGAAAGAGGCCAAATGGCCCATTGAGCCTGTACTGACCCTCTGATGAGCATACCCCAGATTCCCATCGTATCTTCACAACTCCGGATTTTCCATAGCTAACCCACCTAGCTGGCACATCCCTGGATACCATGGAGCAATTGAGCATGGCCAATCCACTTAACCTGCACATCTTTGGACTATGGAAGAAACTGGAGCACCAAGTGGAAACCAGCGCAGACATGGGGAGAAGGTGCGAACTCCATGTGGACGGAATTGTACACAGGTCCCTGGTGATGTGAGGCAGCATGCTAACCACTGAGCCGCCATGCTGCCCATACATTAGCCAATCGCAAACTCAGTGACTGTTCTCCTGAATCCTGCCCCAAAACAAGCACAAAAGGCAATACGGTATTTTTATTTATAAAGTAGTAATCTTCATTGGGAACAACAATAATTTCTGTACATTAAATTCAGCAAATTCATAAGCTATATGAAAATTTTAACAATTTAATTCAGTTTTTTAAGGGCAGAAAATAATACTGTTTAGCAGCAGAATGTGCACTTAATGTATATTTCAATATACAAAACCCATAAACCCAAACTACCCCACAGTCTTCAGAACCAAGTAACTCATCCCTATCTGCTACTCAAATGGCACCATGTGAAAATGATCGGCAATCAAATAGTCATCGGCCATATCATTCCTAAGACAATCATCTGTCCCCTAAAGTGTGTTGATGTCCCACATTTCTTGAATGATTTGATGACTGTGTCCATTTTGATTTCATCCCAGCTGCTACAACCAATTGTCATAAGGTTGCCTATGTTGGAGCTCATTTCCTTCCTCCTTATAGGTGAATGTCCTCTTTCCTCTAATCATTCAGTCATTCTACATTTTATTCCTGTTACCCTTGTTTGGAGAGAACAACGTGAACAAGGTCGTTTTGTAAAGCAGAATCTCTGCAATATCTGGTTTGCGATCAATATTCAGTGACAAGATCATTGTTAAGGTGTGATGTGAATATGTTCTAAATGAGAAGATTTTGGTGGCCAACTTTTACTTGAGGTTGGTGGCAGGTCTGGTGGCATCTGTGGAGAGAGAAACAGCTAAGATTCCAGATAAGTCACCTTGTATGCCATGGTACTGCCAGATGACTATTTCCAGCAAGAGAATCAGGCATATCCGTTGATTTCTCAAAGGCTCCATCATTGTTGAGTCTACCACCTTCAGGTCGCTATTAAATTTTGATAAAAGACTATTAACCTAAAATGTTAACTTTCTTTCTCCAAAGATGTTGCCCAGCCAGCTAAAGAATGCTTGTATTTTGAGTAGATCTTACCCAGGTCATGGGGTACCATGTTACACATGCACAGAGTCTATAATTGTAATATTTTCTGCATGTAAAAGGCCTTTAGTTGGGTGTTGAAATTTCTCATTGTTTGGAGAAGAACTCAGAAACTAAATTGACCAAAGTGATCGCCAGTGGCGATCAGTTGATTGCAACAGTTGATTTTCAGGTGTTATGGAAAGAAATTATATTAAGCACAGTATAGCTTATTTATATCATGCCTTCCACACATAAAACATTCCAAGGTGCTTAACAGGCACATTATGTCACAGGATCTGACTCCTGGTTATATGAGATATTAGAACAAGTTTCCAAAAGCTTGGTCAACAGGTGGGTTTTAAGGAGTGTATTAAATGAAGAAAAAGAGCTAGAGAGTTGGTGGTTTTGGGAAGATATTTCAGAATTTGGGTTGCCAATAGTGGAGCAATCAATATTAGACTTGCTCAAAAGACTGGAATTAGATGAGTATAGAGATCTCCAAGGATCTGAAAGGCTAAAGGAGATTACATACATAAATTGTGTCTGGCTGAAACATAGCCTACGCTTGTCATTACTGAATCTGGTTCATCGAACACTGACACTTATAACCATGGAAACAAAAGTTCTTGCAACACAAGATGATTATTCAGCCCATCATTCCTTGCTAGTTCTTTCAAAGAGCAGTCCAGTTAATGCCACTCCCCTAATCTTTCCCCATTTACTTAAATATTTTCTCCACTTAATATATTTATCCAATTTCTATTAGAAAATTACTTTTGGATTTGTTTCCACTGCTCTTTCAGGCGGTCTGTTCTAGATCACAGCAACTTGCTGTGTAGAAAAAACATCTTCCTCACCACTTCTGTTGTTTCACAATTACTTTATAGCTCTGTCCTCTGGTTAGTCACCCTCCTGCCACCAAAGCAGTTTTCTTCTTATTTACTCTTGTCAAAATCCCTTTACGATTTTGAACATCTCTATTAAATTTCCCCTTAACCTTGTCAGCTCCAGGGAGAACAATCCCATTTTTCTCATAGTCTGTCTTCATGATGCCCAAATCTTTTGATCTAGCTGTGCAATTGAAAATTATTTAAATTAAAAAATAAAACATTTGTAGGATGACATAAAGATGAATCTTTTTGTAAACTATTCTCAGTTTTATGTAGACCGTCAGAAAATCAATGTACATGAACTGCATGAAGCAATTAGGATCGTAGACAAAGATGTGCCTAGAACTGAACGAGTCTTGGATTACTATCAGTAAGTGTGTACTTGTTTCTAAATCTATATATTAATATACTAGATTGATTGCTTTCAAATCCTTCCATGGTATATCACCAAGTCACTGTTGAGGCCAGAGTAGATCATTTAGCTATGTCACCACACAGATCTTTGTCAGTCTACAACCTAACTCCATTTTAAAAATGTACCACTTCTGCCCTGTGTCCCCTAATACATTTAGCCAACAAAAATCTATCAGTCCAAAATTTAAAATTTACAAGTGATGAACTGTAATTTTCAATTTGCAGAAGAGAGTTTCCAACATCTACAACACTTTGTAATAATGGTTCCTAATTTCAGTCCTGAAAGGTCTAACCCTAATATTTCTGTTGTATATTCCTGCCCTAGGGATAGAGCGTATTCTTTAACCAGTGAATGTAGTTTCAGTCAGACAGCTTATCTTAGTTCCCGTTGAAACCTTGTAAACTTTGATCAAGTTATCTCTTCATCTACATCCAGGAAATGCAACCATAATTAGGTACGTGGAAGGAAATTATTGGGTGCTACTGGAAATCCAAAATAAAAACAGAAAATGCTGGAAGTGCTCAAGTCAAGCAGTCTCTGCAGAGTGAAAAACAGAGTTAATGTTACAGGTCAATGAGCTTTCAAATGTACAGGGAGTTTTCATGAAAAGCCGTTTAACTTCAGTGTTAACTGTGTTTCTGTGTCCACTGATGCTGTCTGATCTGTTGCGTATTTCCGGCATTTTCTGTTTTAATTCTAAATTAATGTAATCTGTCCACCAGTTTTAACCCTTGGTTCTCGGGGATCATTCTGGTAAATTAATGCTGCACTCCCTCCGAGACTAATATGTTTTAAATGTTTTCTCCAATCAAGGAAATGTGGATGTCACTGGCAGAGCCAGCATGTCGTTTCCATTCAAATTGCTCCAGAGAAGGTGGTGGGGGGCTATTCTGTTGAACCTCTCTCGTCCTTGTTATGTAGGAACACTCCAAGTGTTGTTAGGAAGGGAGTTCCATGATTTTGATCCAGTGACAATGATGGAAAACCACTATATTTACATGTCAAGGTGATGTGTATTTTGGAGAAGAACTTTCAGGTGTTGGTGTTCCCATGCATCTGCCTCCTCTAGTTGGCAGAGGTCATGGCTTTGGAAGATGCTGTTGAAGGAGTTTTGATGCATTTCTGTGGTGCATCTTGTGGTTGGTCCTGGTATGCCCTTCTGCACCCTTAATTGAGTCAGGATTGATCCCATCTCTTCATGGTAGAATGAGGATATGCTGGACCTTAAGGTTACAGATTATGGTTGAGTATAATTCTGCTGTTGGCCCACAGTGCCTCACGGATGCTCAGTTTTGAGTTGCAAGATATGTTTGAAGTTTGGCTCGTTTAGGGTGGTGATGGAGCCACCAGAGGTGTGTATTCTGCTTCATCTCCACAATTACTGCATGGTGATTGAAAAAACTGCACAGAGGCTGGTATCCTGTCACCAAGTCACGTGAAAAGTCCTTGATACTGATCCAGCTCCCTTAGAGTAGCTCTCAGTATCAGAATGCCTGACACTCCTGTTTAGATCTGTCAGCCAGGACTCCCCAATTTGACGAGATTAACAGCCTTAATCAGGGAACTCATATTCTTTGAGGTCCACCTGGGCGACCTTGTTACAATCAATACAGTGATCACCCTTACTGATACTGTAGTAGATAGATGATGAGGATGAAGCCGAGTAGATTTTCCTCTGAGTCTCCTCACACCGGTCACAGACCCAGTTTATAGGTTATGTAGCTCCTAAGGTGTGGTGCCCAGAACTGCATACAGTATTTTTTTTTTGTTATTCATTTCTCTTTTTCATAAGTTCAGGTTACTCTATTTGACCTGGGGCATGATGATTGCTGGAGTGGCGCTGCGTAATGCGGTATGTTTGACACCACAACTGTAATAATAAAATAAAATCTACCTGTTCTGATTATCTATTTATAAATATGCTTGTTCTGTTTCCTAGAAATGAAGGTGTGATCAACCTTTTGGTGTTGAGAGATATACTGATCACTTTTGCTGCATTTCATCCAGGTACACTTGCTGCCTTTGAGTATTGTTTCCTTGGGTCATTAGTTAGAAATAGAGATTTGTATTTCTGTAGCGAGTTTCAAAGGGATTTAGTTACAATGAAATACAGTGAAAGTCTGTTTTAACATGAACGTCAGGTCCACAAAAATCGGGCAGTCTTGTAACTGATCTGCAGATAGGTGTAGGAGCCCAAATGCAAAAGAAGTGGACCAAGAACTTGTGGGGTGAGATGGGAGTCAGTGAATGAAGAGAGTCTGGGCAGGAGGAGAGCATGGTGTGGTGGTGGGGGTGCGATTCTGGGTCTGGCTGGAGGGGGATGAATTTTGTTCACTGGGATCTTACTTCACTTTTCAAATATAAAACCAAAGCATGCTCTAGGAGTGGGACTTTGTGTATAAATGCTGTCAGAGCTTTCTGGTTGGTACATAATATGAAATGACATGAGCATGATGATACAAAAGGAATAGCCACAAAGAAATAGTGGTCAGAACACCAGAGAGAATAGCTCTGCTGCTCATTACAGTATTGTGGGATTTCCTATACCCATCTGAAAGGGTAGTTGGCCCTCAGATTAACTTCTTAACTGAAAAATGACAGTGCAGCACTCCCTCAGAACTACCCAAGAAGTGTCAGCCTGGATTTTATGTGCACATTCTGCGCTAGGGCTTGAAAGTGCACATTCTGAACCAGAGAGGAGAGCATTAGCCACTGAGCTAATAATAATAATGAACTTCATTTTAATACAAACTATAAGACTGGTATATTATCAAAGCCTAGGAAATTATTCTGTCATGTTTGAGAACAAAATTTCCCCGGTTTCACCACCTTAAGAGCAATTAAGGACAGGCAATAAATGCTGGCATTGTAAGCGACTCAGTTTTTTAAAAGCCAAATCTATCATTCTGAAGGCAACTGTAGGATGACAAAAGGACCATATAATCCATTTGTAAAATTAACATTTAAAATAAAGACATTTTTCATCTAAAAAAGAATTGGGACTGGGAACTAAATATCCAAGCATTTGCATCTGTGAAGGTGTTCACAGTGTGTATTCTCTGAAACTGTTTTCTACTTTCGCGTTTTAGACGTAAGCTATGTTCAAGGCATGAATGACCTTGTTAGCCGTTTCTTGGAGGTACTGGACTCTGAAGTGGATGCATACTGGTGCTCTACATTCTACTTTGAGAAGATTTCTTATGATTTCAAAGAAGAAGGCTTGATAAGGAAAATCAGTAAGTCTGCTTTAGCCATACATTCAGGGTTGGGCTGATATCCTGTTGTTTTTATGTATACCCAGCTCTATCTCCACTTTTAAGACTCTTTAAAATATTTTTCTTTTCACCAAGCTTTTAGCCAGAAGCCCTAATATCCCTTTAAGCTCTGGGTTTTCAGCACAGTAGTTAAGCAGGACAGCAAAGAGAAGAGAGGTGGTCAATGCAGCACTGAGGATGTTGTACTTAAATGCACACAGTATATACAACAAGGTAAATGAGCTTGTAGCACAGATTGAAGTTAGCAGTTATGATGTTGTGGACATCATGAGACGTGATGCAAGGGAACTGGGACTAGGAACTAAATACCCAAGGATTTGCATCCTATTGAAAGGACAGGTAGAGGGGGTGGGTTTGATTTCTTAGTAAGAAAAGACATTAATCAATAGCAAGAAACGGTTAATGGGTTGGAAGATGTAGAATCTGTGTGCGTAGAAGAACCACAAAGGAAAATAGACCCTGCTGAGAGTTATGTGCATGCCACCTAGCAAGAGTTAGGATATGGGGCAAAAATATTTCAGGAAATAGAGAAGGCATTTAAGAAAGGTACTGTTACAATAATCATGGGCAACTTCAATATGCTGGCGGACCAGGAAAATCAGGTTGGTAGTGGATGTCAAGAAAAGGAATTGGTGGAATATCTATGAGATGGGTTTTTGGAGCAGCTTGTGGTAGAACCCACTAGGGAACAGGCAATTCTGGACTTAATATGTAATGAGGCAGACTTGATTAGGGAGCTAAACGTATAGGAACCCCTGGGGAGCAGTGACCACAACATGATTGAATTCACCCTGCAGTTTGACAGGGAGAAGCTGGAATCAGATGTAATGGTATTACAGTTGAGTAAAGGTGACTGCAAAGACATGAGGGAGGAGCTGGCCAGAGTTGATTTGAAGGGCAGCCTCGCAGGGAGGACATTGGGGCAAATTTGAGAGGCACAGCAGAAATTCATCCCAAGGAAGAAGAAACTTACTAAGCGGAGGATGAGGCAACTATGTCTGACAAGGGAAGTCGGGGACAGCATAAAAACAAAAGAAAAAGCTTACAATGTGGTGCAGTTTAGTGGGAAGCCAGAGGCTTGGGAAGCCTTTTAAAAACCAACAGAGGACAACTAAAAAAGCAATAAGGGAGGAGAAGATGAAATATGAGGGTAAACTAGCTAGTAATATAAAAGAAAATTCCAAGAGACCTTTTTTAGGTCAATAAAAGGTGAGAGGCAAAAGAGAACATTGGAGTCCTGCGAAAGGAGGCAGGAGAAGTAGCATTGGGGAACAAAGAAATGGCAGAGGAACTGAATGGGTATTTTGCATCAGTCTTCACGGCAAGGTGCCAGTAGCATACTAGATCTTCAAGAAAGTCAGGGAGTAGAGGTGAGGGTAGTGACCATCACTAAAGAGAAGGTACTTTGCATGTTGAAAGGTCTGAAGGTGGATAAATCATCCAGACTGTGGATGGACTACACCCCAGAGTTCTGAAGGAGATAGCTGAGGAGATTGTAGCAGCATTGGTGATGATTTTTCAGCAATCACTGGAATCAGGGAGGGTCCCAGAGGACTGGAAAATGACTGATGTAACACCAATGTTTAAGAATGGAGGGAGGTTGAAGATGGGGAAATTATAGGCTGATTTTCCTGACCTCGCTCATTGGTAAGATTTTAGAGTCCTTCATTAAAGATAAGATTGTGGAGTACTTGGAAATGCATGATAAAATGGGGCTTAGTCAGCTCAGCTTTATCAAGGGGAGGAAATACCTGACAAATCTGTTGGAATTCTTTGAGAAGGTAATTAGACAAAGGAGAGCCAGTGGTTTTGATCTATCTGGACTTTCAGAAGTTCTTTGACAAGGTGCCACAAAGGAGGTTGGCTAAATAAGCTAAGAGCCCATGTTGTTAGGGGCAAGGTACTGGTATGGGTAGAGGATTGGCTGACTGGTAGAAGGCAGAGAGTAGGCATAACGCGTCTTTTTCAGGATGACAGATAGTGGCAACTATTCACATTATGCCTTAACGATTTGAATAAAGAAACTGAGGACATTATTGCTAAGTTTGCAGATGACACAAAGATAAGTGGTGGGACAGGCAGTGTTGAGGAAGTAGGGAAGCTGTAGAGGACTTGGACAAACTAGGAGAGTGTGCAAAGAAGTGGCAATGGAATACAGTGTGGGAAATTGTGAGGTTATGCACTTTGGTAGGAAGAATAGATGCATAGGCTAATTTGTAAATGGGGAACAGCTTTGGAAATCTGAAGCACAAGCAGACTTGGGAATCCTAATTCAGGATTCTCTTAAGGTTAAAATGCTGGTTCAGTTGGCAGTTAAGAAAGCAAATTAAAAGTTAACATTCATTTCAAGAAGGCTAGAATACAAGAACAGGGATATACTGCTGAAACTGTATAAGGCTGTGGTCAGACCACATTCGGAATATTACGAGCAGAGGACGTTCACAAGAATGATCCCCAGAATAAAGGCTTGTCATATGAGGAGCAGGTGAGGACTTTGGGTCTGTACTAGATGCAGTTTAGAAGGATGAGGGGGTCTCGTTGAAAATTACAGAATACTGAGAGGCCCAGATAGACTGGACGTGAGAAGATGTTGTAGGTGAGACTACAACCCAAGAGCACAGCCTTGGAGTGAAAGGGATGTTGCTTTAGAACTGAGATGTGAGAATTTCTTCAGCCAATGGTGGTTAATCTGTGGAATTTATTGCAGCAGAAGGCTATGAAAGACAAATCATTAAGTGTATTTAAGACATTGATAGGTTCTTGATTAGCAGGGCTATCAAGGGTTACAGGGCGCAGGCAGGAGAATGGGGTTGAGAAACCTATCAGCCATGATCAAATAGTGGGACAGACTTGATGGGCCAAATAGCCTAACTCTGCTCCTATACCTTATTGCTTCCACTTTTATCTGAAATACTCGCCATCCATTACCTGTTTAGAGACGTTTTCTTTGTTGTTCCCTACTTGATTACATCAAAATTGGATGTTTAAATGCTGCAGTCTTCTTTATAAATCAGGTCTTTCCTGTTGCAAGTAGACTGACAATGCAGCAATCCAAATATGGATGGAAATCCTGAAGATGTTACTCTAAGGTGTAAATGTGCATCAAAACAGAGAAAAGCTAAAGGACAGATCTGCAGTCAAGAGGAAAGAATGTACATTTGTGAATTTCCTTTGACCTCAGAACATGCCAAAGTGCTGTACAACCCATGAAGGACACTTCGAAATGTAATCACTGTTCTAGCAAACATGGCAGCCAATCTGTGCAAACCTCCGCAAGCAGCAATGTGAGAATGGTGTATTGATTTTATTGTGTGATTTTATTGGTTGACGGCCTAAAAATCAATCAATGCGAGCTTAAGTATGAGTTTGGCACAAGAGTAGGCTATTTGGCACTTTGAGCCTGCTCCACAATTCGATAAAGGTTGTTGCTGATTTGATTGTAGCCTCAATCTACTTCCTGCAACACCTGATACCATTTGACTTCCTTATTGGTCAAGAATTAGTCTACCTCTGCCTTAAAAATATTTCATGATGCTGTCTCTACCTTTCTCTGGAGAAGAGCGCTCCACGTACTCAATGACCCTCTGAGAGGAGATATTTCTTGCAATCTCCATCTTAAATGGGAGACCACTCGTCTTTTAAACAGTGTCCCCTAGATGTAGTTACTTTAAAAGGAGAAGCACATTTTCAGCATCTCGCTGTCAAGACCCCCTAAGGATCTTATGTTCAATGAGATTTCCAGGAATTCTGCTGAACTCCAATGGATGCAGACCTACCCTGTCTGATCTTTCTTCATAAAATGACCCATTCATCCCAGTGCTGTGGTGTCCACACAAGAGAGCAGATGGTGCTTCAGTTGAATCTGTTATCTGTGAAGTGGCACCTCGACAGTCCAGCACACATTCCGCGCAGCTCTGGCAATTTCAGCCTGGATTTTGTGTTCAAATGTATGGCTTAGGATTTTAACACTCAATTGTCTGTCTTGGAGGAGGTGTGTTATCTGCTATGTAAGACTGACACCTGAAACAGAAGCATTTTTTTCTCTATTGAAATTTTATTATTTTATCTCTTGATTTCCTCACTCCACCCTCGTGTTTCCTTTTCTCTATTTTGTTTTTGTGACATCACTTTAAGTTTCACTTTCTTGCTTGGAATTGTGTTGCTCCTTCACTTTGTATGTCTTTATTTCTCCTCCCTTGCAACATCACTGACCCCTTCTGGATTCCAGACTTACTAAGGTCTCCTAAGCACCACCCCAGGTTGTGTGATTGCTTTTCAGCTGATCCCAGCGACAGTGCTGAATGTCAAACTTGAGAAATACCAGAGCCAGTCCTTATACTAACTTAGTTTTTTGTTCATATTGGCATTCACAGCGTTGCTGTGTGATGTGAGAATCACTGGAAATTTGAGCATTCTGGTCAACACCTACAAGTGACTTTTTGTTTTTCTCTGATCCCACTCTGGTTCCAGAGGGCAGGTGACCTGGATCATCATCCTGGCAATTGTTTGTACTTCATAGCACTACTTCAGGTGATTGTGGGTGTCACTTGCAGTGATATTTATTTAAATTTCACATCTCATCCTGAGACGCTTGGCAACATTGCTCACGAGATCCTGGTGTCCAGGAAAAGATTTGTTCATCTCTTTATAAACGAGAAAGCTTAGGTTTGACCTGATAGCTGCGTTTATAGTTATGAAGGAATTTTGTAGGTTAAATGTAAAAACCCCTACTCCATTTCTAAAACATGAGGCCATAAAAGGAATAGTTATTAATAAATCTAATGAGAAAACCTCTTTAGCCAGAGAGTGAGGAGAATGAGCAACTCGCTACCACAGGAAGTAGTTGAGGCAAATACTGTAGATCCTTTGAAGGGAAATTAATGAAGTACATGAAGAGGAACTGAAGAATAACAGCTCTTTCCCACAGTCACTCAATTAGTTTTTCTTTTCAGATGTTTATCCAACTCCCTTTATAGCAGGAACTTTGAATCTGCTCATACCACTCTTTTCAGGCAGTAAATTCCAAATCCCTGTCAATTGTGTTAAAATAAATTCCATTTCCTCTGGTCTCTGGTTCATTTCTTAAATTATTATAAATCTATCCTCTGGTTATTTACCCATCTGCCGGTGGAAAACAGTTGCTCCTGATTTACTCAAATCTCATGATTTTGAAAGCGTCCATTAAATCTCCCCATTACTTTTCTGTCTTAAGGAGTGCAATCTCAGCATCTCCGGTCTCTCCACACAATTCAAGTCTGAGGCCTGGCACTTTTTCTAATTACACCCCATCTTTGATTTAGTCCTGTGTAAACTTTCTTTGTACATGACTGTTTGTAATCTGTGGGTTTTACGTAATTCTGTTTGTATTACTGATTCTGACACTTTGCTGCCATCTCCTGTTCAGTAACCATGCCGTTACCAGTTTGCAGTTTCATGCTCTGCTTTTTTTGCTTGTTAGTTATCTTTGATTCAAAGCAATTCCTTTGCTTATTGGGGCTGTGAAACTGGTAGATGTGAAGACCTTGGAGGGGGTGGCAGAAGAGGTATTAGGATGGTATCTGGTATAAGGGACTTCAGTAACTAAGAAGTTAGAGGTTAGGCTTGTCCTGTTTAGATTAGAGAAGATGAAAGTGAGATTTAATAGAAATATTCATAATGACAATGGCTTTGTTATTATTAACCAGTACACCTAGGAGAAATGTTTTGCTTTTTTTGAACTACTGATATGGAGTTTTGTTTTTACACATACCTGAGGGGGCATTTGGAGTCTCCATTGAATGCCTCATCCAAAAGAGAAGACATCTCCAATACAGCATTTCCTCAGTGTCACACCAGCAGTGTCAGCCTGGATTGTGTGCTTGTGACCCTGGAACAGGGATTGAACTCAGGTGAGAGTGCAACCCACTGAGGCACAGTCAATAGCCATGTATATGTATAGGTCCCAAAAGTCCCCACACAATCCAGAGGTACTCCTAGTGGAGCATTGAAACCCTTAGAAACAAGTTGCAGTGTCTCTGCTACTTCCAACCAGTCTTGTAACAACAGAGCAACCACATCCATTTGCAAAGTCAGTGTGGTCTGTGGCAGGAACTCCCTATCAAAAACAAAAAACGAAGTTGCTGGAAAAGCTTAGCAGGTCTGGCAGTAAACGATAGGTAGGGATATATCCCAAAGAGAGAGAGAAGAACAGTTGGACAGACAAAGGAGTAGACAACGATCTGGTGAGAAGAGTGAATAACTGTTAATGGAGACTGTTTAGTGGCTAACAATGAGTAGTGTGTAATGGCAGACTGTGATAACAAGGCCTAGTGTGTGAGGTTGGGGGTTAGGGCATAGGAGAGTTTGGGCCCTTAATTCACTGCTCACAATGTGGTTTCCTCTACATTGGGGAAACAAAGCATAGACTGGGTGACCACTTCGCAGAACATCTACATTCTGACTGCAAAAAAGGACCCTGAGCTTCCAGTTGTCTGCCGCTTTAACACACCACCCTGTTCCCTGGCCAACTTCTTTATCTCCGGCTGCTGCAGTGTTCCAGCGAAGCTCAGTGCAAGCTGGAAGAACAGCACCTCGTTTCCTGCTTGGGGACCCTGCAGCCCTCCAGACTCTAGCATCCGCAGTTCTTTTGGTTTTTATTCAGGAACTCCCTATGCCAGGAATTCCCAGTGTCATGGTTGAGTCTGGAGATGATCTATCCCTGAATGTGGGTACCAACAAGTGAGTGTGTGGTCCGCCGGTGGTCAAGGTTTTGGCAGCATTTGAACTGAGAAAGGCTAACTTGAATGAGATTACTGAGGCAGAAATAGGTGGTCTTAGAGATGGCACATGCATCATCTCACACGTTCATCTTGCAATCAAATGTAACATTACATCTGTGAACAGGCTGGCTTATTCCTTAACTCGAGCCAGGTGGCTGAGAAACTGAACAATTTGTTTCTATTACTGGCTTAGAGTTAAACTAAAGGCTCTCTTACTTGTTGGCTCCCCAAGGAATGCCAGCAGTGTTGTGTTTAAGAACTCTTAAGATGCATGACCAAGGTCAGGGAATGCTAGACTACTCGGTTTCCCCATTCCTCCGCTCTAGTGTGTGGCCAGAGTTGCATTGCTAATGGTGCTTGTAACCAGCTGGCCCATAGAGATGAAATCCCATCCTACTGTCATCTCGAACACTGGTGGTCAGTATCAGAGGGCAAAGCGATCCAGGTCATGTTCTGAATACAGTCAGGTTTTAGGCCCTGTGATGGGCAGAAGGCAGAAACAGGGAACTTAGTGGACAATCAGCCATAATCATATTGAATGGCACACTAGACTCAAAGGACCGAATGTCCAACCTGCTCCAATTTTCTATGTTTTATAGCCAATGCTAAGTGTCAGCCTTTCATCATATTTCAAGAAGAAAACAGCTTTATATTTGTATAACACTTTTAATGTGGTACAAACATCCCATTGCAGTATTGGAAGTGTTATAAACTGAAACGTAATTCAGAACCACATAGAGGACATTAGGCCAGATGATCAAAATCCCAGAGCTTGGGACCTAGGCGATGAAAACATTGTCACTAATTGAGGAGCAATTAAAATTGGATTGCGCAAGATGTCAGTGTTAAAGGAACACACACCGCATGGAGGGTTTTGGGGTTGGAGGAGATTAGAGATAGAAAGGAGAAAGCCATGGCAGGATTTTAAAACAAGGATGAGAATTTTAAAATCTCATGATTTTTTTTTCCTGAGAGAGAATAGCCTCTATACAAGAAAATAAAACTGTGCTGTGGAAATTTATTTTAATTAACTTTTTTGTTCTCTGCCTGAGGGTGGGGGCAAGGGTGGAAAAAGAGAAGAGATCCAGTTCTAAATCTTAAGCTTCTGTAGATGCTAGCATATAAATTGACCTTTGAAGCCTCATAAATCACTTCAAAAATGAGGAATGACTTTATATCAAGCGTAAAAAAAACACTTGTATGGGTGTACGTGGTCATTTTAAATAACATTAACATCTGACACAAAACATAGGCATATCTTAAACTCCTGTGCATTTTCTCCACACAGCCCCTATTTCCTGCTTGATCCCATGTGCTCAGTTATATGATATCGGTAAGCAAAACATCCATTTATGGGGTAAAAAATTGAAGCTGACTACTAATGAGTACAGAATGATGAAACTGAAAGAGGGGGTGGTGTAATCTTGTACCAAGTAGATGCACAAACACTATTTTTGCAGATGGTAAAATAGGCTTGTTTTGTATGCTGTACTGATTTGCAGGCCACACTTCACAGTCATCATCTGTGGCACACTTGGTAAGATGTTCATCCCTGAATTATAGTGTTTTGAGTCCAAATCCAACTCCCAAGATATGAGCCCAAAGATCAAAGCTGATACACTAGTGCTGTACTGAGGAAGTGCTGCACAATTGGAGGTGCCTAGCACAATGGTAAGCACTGCAGCCTCACTTGACCAGGGACCCGGGTTGGATTTCAGCCTTGGGTGATAGTCTGTGTGGAGTTGGCATGTTCTTCCAGTGTCTGTGTGGGTTTCCTCTAGATGCTCCGATTTCCTCCCACAGTCCAAAGATGTGCAGGCTGGGTGAATTGGCCATGGTTAATGTGGGACAATGGAGATAGGGTGGGGTGCTGTTCAGAGGGTTGGTACAGACTTGATGGGCTGAATGCCCTTGTTTGGCACTGTAGGGATTCTGTGATCTATGATCTTTTGATGAGATAGTAAACCAAGTCCCCTCCGTCTGGTCTGGTGGAAGTAGAAGACCCTATACCACTACTTCAAATAAGAGAATGAGAGTTTTCTCGGTGCCCTGTGCAGTGTTTATTATCTTGAACAACATCACAAAAAACTGATGATCATGTGGATTGTGGAAGTTTGCTGTGTGCGTTGTCTGCTGGGTTTCCTACATTGCAACAGTGATTACGGTTGATTACGGTCCAAAAAGTACTTCATTGGGTGTAAAGTTTTTCTTTTATTCATTAATGAAGTGTGGATGCTTCTGGTTGGGCCAACATTTGTTGCCCATCATTAGTTGCCCTTGAGAAGATAGTGGTGAGCTGTCGATTTAAACCACTGCAATCCATTGTGTGTAGATAGACTCTCAATGCTGTTAGGGAGGAAGTTTTGAGGATTTTGACCCAGCAACTGTGAAGGAATGGTGTGTGACTTGGAGGGAAACTTAGAAGGTGGTGGTGTTCTCATATATCTGCTGACCTTGTCCTTCTAAGCGGTAGTGCTCGTAGCTTGGAAAGTGCTGCTGAGTATTGATGGTGGAGGGAGGGAAATGCCAACTAAGCAGGCTGCTCTGTCTGGATGGTGTCAAGCTTCTTGTGTTGTTAGATCTGCACTCACTTAGGCAAATGGGAAGTGTTCTATCACACTCCTGACATGTGCCTTATGGATGGTGGGTCTGCTTTGGAGAGTTAGGTGGTGAGTTACTTGCTGCAGCATTCCTGGTCTCTGACCTGTACTTGGAGCCACAGTATTTACGACTACTCCAGTTCACTGTCTGGTCAGTGACACCGTCCCAGGATGTTGATATAGCCTGAGGGGCTTCCACCGATGAGCCAAGATGTGTTTTTGGTCACAGCATTTTTTTGTTTTAATTTTGTTTGTAATAATTAACTATAATGTACTTCATGGTTGTCCAGGACTTGAGGAGCAACTCCTAAAGGAACTTGACTCGCAACTTTACACTCACCTCCTGAGGGATGGTATGAATGGACTCACCTTCTGCCACAGGTAAGGTAATAGATGCTTCACCACACCTTTCCTCGTCAGAAATGTTGGCTGTTTTTTTGACTTTGTGGTTCTAGCCCTCCTTTCATCTCTGGTGAGCTGAAAATCTCCAAGTTACAGCCGTAAACCATTCTCCTTTCTAAGAAAAAGACATCAGTTCCCAGAAAGGCTGCCCCTCGTTCAAAAACTAATCGAGGCTTCACTTCTCAACACTGTTCAGAGAGACTGTAGAATAGTGGACGTTATGGAGAAAGTTAAAGTTTACCTGTGGGTATTAAGGAGTGATTGGATTGGGATGTTAGTAAGATGGTTAAAGGATTTAATAGGGTAGATGGAAAGAAACAATCCCCTCTGGGCAAGAAGGGACGTAATGTTAAAGTTAGAACCAGGCCTTTCATGGTGATGTCAGGAAGTACTTCTTCACACCAAGAGGAGTAGAAATCTGTAACTCTCTCCCTGACAGAGCTGTTGAGGCTGGGAGTCAATTGAATGTTTCAAAACTGAGATTTGTTTGATTTTTGTTGCGGAAAGGTATTAAACGTTAGAGAAACAGGGCGGATAGATGGAAGTAAACAAGGATCTCATTATGTGGTGGTACAACAGGTTTGAGGAGCTGAATCAGCTTCCAATTGTCCCATGTTCACCCTTTCAGTGGTTAAGTAATGTTGGAGAGTCAAATTGGGGTATCTGTGAAGGACAGTAACTGAACTTAGTTTTAAACTATCAGTAAAAATTGAACAGACTAGGGCTCTTTTCTCTAGAAAAGAGAAGGCTTAACAGAGAATGGTTAAGGCACATTTCACCCACAAGGCCGGTGCCCCCTATCTGCAAGAACAATTTAATTCATCCTGCTCTCCTGTCCTTGCAAATTGGATGCCCTTCAGGTGCTTGTACAGTTCCCACTTTGGAGATGACAATGGAACCTGTCTCCACCACTGTCTTAGGCCTTCCTTTCCAGATCCTCACTGCTCAGTTTTAGTTTTTCTTAGTTTTTAATTGTAAGCTGTTTGTTCTGTCCCCACCCAACCTCTGTAACCTCCTTTAGACTGTCAAACCTCAGATTCTGAACTCCTCTAATTCTAGCCTCTAATGCATCCTGATTTCAATTGCTCCACCATTGCTAATCAAGTCTTCAGTTGCGTTGGCTCCAAGCTCCCTATGCCTTCCCACCTTTCTATTTTGCTTTCTTCTTCTGAGGTAGTTTAAAATGTTTCTTTAAACGAGCTATTGATCATCTGATCTAATAGCTTCATTTGTGGCTCTTTATCATACTTTATAATGTCTCAAGGAGCATTATAAAATAAAGACACCATACAAATTTTAAGTTTTTTTGCTTCAAAGTTGCAACTGACTTTGCTTCCAGCAACCTTTTTAAGGCAGTGTATTCAAAACCATAATAAAGACCTGAGTAATATTATATTCCAGACAATGGGAAGGAACTTGATAGGGACATTTTGTGCATCCATACAAGAATATAATCACTATTGTCAAATCCTTAAGTGTCATGAAAACCACTGCCATTTCATGCAAGATCAAACCCACGTTCTCAGAGCAAAACTTTTTCTGATGTTTATTTTAAATAAGCCTTTTGATATTGAGCCAGCATTGTAAACTATGGTGAGAACACGTTCTGTTCACCTTCTCTTTCCCATTTGGCTGCTAATAAACCTCTGACTGAGTTTGACATGCTAGTCTAAGTTCATGGTCGCTGCATACTGTGTCAGAGCACATCACCTCCAACAAATGGACTGGTACTCTCGGGGAGGTTAATAAGATCCATCAGTTCACTAAAGAGCTTTCATCACTGAGATTGAATGTGTAAAAGACACAGGAAAAGAACTTAACTGCTTCCTTAAAATAGGAAAGGTCTCTCCTGGACTTCTGGCAGGTGTGAAAAAAAAACTAATTAGCTCCTTAGGCTTCCTGTTTTTCAATGATGGTGAAGAGAGTTGTGTTTAAGGTGATGGCTGAGCTGTCAATCAAGCAGGCTGTTTTATTCTGGATGTTGTTCAACTCCTTGAGTGTGCTAATACTTAGTCTCTTTTTTTTATTCTTTCACAGGATGTTGGCATCACTGACACCCATCCTTATTGCCCTTTTAGAAGGTGGTAGTTGTGAGCCATCTTCTGGATTCACTAATCAATAATCAGGAAGCAGTCCCACTCCTAATGTCACTTCCAAACCTTATCAAGATTTTGAAGGGCTTGATAGTGTAGAAAAAAAAAATAGGTTTCAACTTGAGGGAGATCCGATCTAGGAGTCAATGTTATAAACTGGTCTGTATTAAATTCAGTAGAGAATTCAGAGGAAACCACTTTACCCGGAGAATGTGGAACTCTCTATCACAGGAGACAATTGAAACAGAAATGAGATGTGTTTGGGAGAAAAAGAAATAAGACATAGGATGAGAGGAGGGTCCTTTTACAAGTTATCTTAAGTCATCTTCCTCAGGTTACTGACCTTACTACCAGTGGACACAGTTCCTATCAAGAGCCTTCATGACTTTGAATCAAAAAGTTCAGTATTGGTTAGTTCTGATTGAGGGTGACTTTGAGAGGCAAGGTATAGTTTCAAGTGGTATTACTCCAAGTCATGATGGTGTGTGTCATGGATGGAATTCTACATTGCCCAAGTATTTTCTATAAAGACTTGTGGCTGTCTCTAGGTTGAGGTCTCTGCCCTGGTCCAAACCTAGTCCACCTTCCTCTCAAAGTCAGTCAACATTCACCATTCTAGCTGAAAGCACATTTCAGAGACTCCCTATTCTCTGGAGAAAAGAAGGCGTTATTCACAATGCACTCAAACCTACAATATAGGAGCCACAATCCGAATTATCACCCACAGACCAGTTGGTCTGAATGGCCTGTTTGTCTTGTGAAACTCTGTAATGACAGTTTTAAATAAAAGTGGGCTAACAACCTATTCTACTGTATCCCTTTGGGACTGACCTGCCTTTCCTGTTGGCAGGTGGCTGCTGCTGGGGTTTCAACGAGAGTTTGAGCATAGCGACGCAATCCGTCTGTTTGAGATCCTCAGCAGTCACCACCTCGAGCTAAACTCACTGGAAGCTGAAAGTGCCCGTCATTCGGAGAGAATGACACATTTCCAGAGGGCAGGTGAGTAACCTGGGTGGAATTAGATACAATGTGTCAGTGAGCTGTCAAACAGAACAGATTGTTTTGAGTTTGACTACAAATTTTCTGGTTATTGGCTGAAATTTCATGCTACATTCCAACTTGTTACACTGTATATATATATTAATCAAACTCCAACTTCCCCAGTAGCTCTATTCTAATAGAAATATATGATGGCAAGAAAAATCTGCCTGGTCCACCAAGCCTGAATCATAGAATTTTTTTAGTCCAGAAGGCCACTTGTCCCATTGTTTCTGTGCTGGCTTTTTTTAAACATGCTATCTAATTGCTCACACTCTTCCATAGACCTGAAAATGTTTTCTCTTCAAGTCTATATATTTGTACTGAAGTTTGTACAGCCAAGTTTACTGAACCAATTCAGAGGATGAGGGGGTGTTGAGAAGCTGCGTAAATTGGGGGATATTATTTGGAGTTTAGAAGAAGAGAGAATTTCAGCTAAACATCCAAGATTCTGAGAGGGCTTGATAGCTTACATCTTGCTTGGCAATTGTTTTCACCAGTTGGGGAATCTTAAGAAGGCATCATGGCCCCAGAATAAGGAGACCAATATCTTAGTACTGAGATGAGGAGAAATTACTTCACTAAAAGGGCTATGGGATCTTTGGAATTCTCTACACCAGAGCGTTGTGGATGTCCTGTCGTGTAATGTGGCACGTACAGACCTTTGATCTCTTAGGGAATTGGGAGTAGGCAGGAAAGTGAATTTGAAGCCGTGGATCAGGTGCAATTGTATTGAAAGACAGATAAGGCTCGTTCAGTCTCTTGTTTATCTTTTTCTAGTTCTTTGCAGAATATTAATTTTGAGTAGTGTTCTCCTCCTCATATCATCTCTCTGATCTTCTTGGGAGTTATCTTTGGTCTCCTTCTTCAAGTTACTGACCCTACTGCCAGTGGAAACAGTTCCTCCTCAGAGTCAAAGTCATACAGCACAGACAGACCTTTTGGTCCAACCAGTCTATGTTGAACATAATCCCAAACTAAACTAGTCCCACCCATCTGTTCCTGGCTCTCATCTCCAAACTTTTCCTATTCATGTACTTATCCAAGTGCCTTTTAAATGTTGTAACAGTACCCACATCCACCACTTCCTCAGTAAGTTCATACCACATGCAAACAACCTTCTGTGTAAAAAATTTGCCTTTCATGTCTTTTTTTTAAAATCTCTTTAGTCTTCTGTCTAGTCTGTTAAGAGCCTTCATGAATTTGAATCAAAACTTTCAGTGTTGCTTCATTCTGATTGAGGGCGACTTTGACAGGAAGAACATAGAACAAAAGAAGAAGAGAGAAGTACAGCACAGGAACAGGCCTTTCGGCCCTCCAAGCCTGTGCCGATCATCATGCCCTGACTAAACTAAAAAACAAACCTCCAACCTTATTCGGTCCGTATCCCTCTATTCCCTCCCTATTCATGTAACCATCCAGATGCCTCTTAACTGTCGTCAACTTGCCTGCTCCACCACCTTGTCTGGCAGTGCATTCCAGGCTCTTACCACTCTGTCTGAAAAAAACTCCCTCGCACATTTCCCTTAAACTTTCACCCTTTCACCTTGAACCTGTGCTCCCTTGTAATTGAAACTTCAACCCTGGGAAAAAGCCTCTGACTATGTAGCCTATCTATGCCTCTCATAATTTTGTAGACCTCTATCCGGTCTCCTCTCGGCTATCACCGTTCCAGTGAAAACAATCCTAGCCTTTTTAATCTTCCCTCCTAGCCAGAGCCCTCGGTCGGCAACATCTTGGTGAACCTTCTCTGCACTGTCTCCAAAACTTCCATGTCCTTCTGGTAGTGTGGCATCCAAAACTGCACACAATAATCCAAATACAACCTCAAGGGTTTTATATAGCTGCAACATGGTTTGCTAACTCTTGTACTCTATGCCCCAGCCAATGAAGGCAAGCATGCCATATGCCTTCTTAATCACTTTGGCCAACTGTGTTGCCACTTCTAGGGAACTGTGGACCTGCATGTCCAGATCTGTCTGTATGTTAATGTTCCTAAGGGTTCTGCCATTTACGGCATAATTCACACCCAAATTTGATCCTCCAAAATGCATCACCTCGCGTTTGTCTGGATTAAACTCCATCTGCCATTTCTGTGCCCAAGTCACCAATCCATCTATATCCTGCTGTATACTTTCACAATCGATCATCGGCACTATCAGCAACTCTACTAATCTTCGTGTCAGCTGTAAAATTACTAGTTAAACCACCCACATTTTCCTTCAGATCATTTTTATATATACTACAAACAACAGAGGACCTAGGACTGATCCCTGTGGAACACCACTAGTTACCAGTCTCTATTCTGAAAAACACCCTTCCACTGCTACCCTCTGTCTTCTATGACCAAGCCAGTTTTGTGTCCGTCTAGCCGGCCCACCCTGAATCCCATGTGATTTTAGTTTTTGTACCAACCTGCCATGTGGGACTTTATCAAATGCCTTACTGAAGTCCATATAAAATACATTCACAGCCTTTCCCTCCTCAAATTATCTTTGTCACCTCTTCAAAAAATCCAATCAGGTTGGTGAGGCATGACCTTCCCCGTACAAAACCATGCTGCCTGTCACTAACTAGTCCATTTTCTGCCAAATGTGCATATATCCTGTCCCTTAGTATCTTCTCCAAGAGCTTCCCCACCACAGAGTCAGGCTCACCGCCTATAATTTCCTGGATTACCCCTGCATCCTTTCTTAAACAAGGGAACAACATTGGCTAATCTCCAGTCCTCTGATCTTCGCCTGTGGTCAAAGAGGATGTGAAGGTATCTATTAATGCCCCAGCTACTACTTCCCTTGCCTCTTGCAGCAACCTGGGATAGATCCCATCTTCCCCTGGGATCTTGTTTACCTTAATGCAATTTAGGATACCCAAAACTTCAATATATTGATATTCTCTAGAATATTTACACACTCCCTGACCTCAACATCAGTCATGTCCTTCTCCTTGGTGAATACTGATATAAAATATTTATTAAGGATCTTTCCCACTTCCTGTGGCTCCACGCATAACTTCCCTCCTTTGTCCTTGAGTGGGCCTACCACTTCCCTTGCTACCCTTTCTCTTTTAATATATGCATAAAAAGCCTTGGAATTCTCCTTGATTCTGTTTGCTTAAGACATTTCATGGCCCCTTTTAGCCTTCCTAATTTCCCGCCTAAGTTCCTTCCTAATTCCTCTATATTTCTTAAGGGGTTCATCCGTTTGTAGTTGCTTAGACTTATCGTATGCTTCCTTTTTGCTTTTGACTAAGCTTACAATTTCCCTTGGTTCCTCAATTCTGCCATTCCTATCCTTCAGTTTTTCAGAGACATGTATGTCCTGCACTTTAATCAACTGGTCTTTAAAAGCCTCCCCCGTGCCAGACATAGATTTGCCCTCAAATAACTGCTCCCAATCCACATTCTCCAGTTCCTATCTAATTTGGATATAATTGGCCCTTGCCCCATTAAGCACCCTCACCCAGGGACTCTTGTCCATGACTACTTGAAATCTTATGGAGTTATGGTCACTCAGCCTGAAATGCTCTCCTACTGAAACATCAGTCACCTGTCCTGGCTCATTCCCTAGGACCAAGTGTAGTATGGCCTCCTGTACTGCCTCAAAAAGCCCTCCTGGACACAGCTAACAAATTGCTCTCCATCCGAGCCCTTGGCTCTAAGGGAGTCGCAGTCAATAAGAGGAAAGTTGAAGTCACCCACCACAACTACCTGCTTTTTTCACACTTTTGCAGTATCTGACTACATATCTACTCCTCTGTCTCACATGGGCTGTTGGGAGGTCTATAAAAAACTCCCAACATCGTGATTTTACCCTTCCTATTCCTGAGCTCCACCCATAATGCCTCACTGCAAGATCCCTCCGATGTATCCTCCCTCAACACAGCTGTGATGTGATCCCTAATCAGCAATGCAACTCCCCCCACCCCTTTCTGTCCCATCTAAAATATCCGAGAATGTTAAGCTGCCAGTCCTGCCCCTTTTTTAACCATGTCTCTGTAATGGCATTAACATCATAATTCCATGCAGTAATCCAAGCTCTTAGTTCATCTGCCTTACCTGTTACACTTGCATTGAAGTATATGCACTCCAAACCTCCAGTCCCTCTGAGCCCCATGACTTCTCTCTGCTTGCTCTTACTCTGCGCTATGCATATCTCGGTATCTCCTTTGTCCCGAGTACCTGCACTTACTGGCCTGTTGTTCCGGTTCCCACCCCCCTGCCACAGTAGTTTAAACCCTCCTGAAGAGCTCTAGCAAACCTACCGCCCAGATATTGGTGCTTCTCCAGCTCAGCTGCAACCCATCCTCCTTGTACAGGTCCCACCTTCCCCAGAAGACATCCCAATGATCCATATATTTAACCCCCCACTCCTACACCAACTCTGTAGCCACGTGTTCAATTGTACTCTCTCTGTTCCTGGCCTCACTAGTCCGTGGCACGGGTAGTAATCCTGAGATTAGTATTCCTGCTTTTTAGCTCCCTACCTAACTCCGTGAATTGTCTTCACAGAACTTCTTTCCTCTTCCCTCTTCCTACCTATGTCATTTATGCCAATGTGGACAATAACTTCTGTCTGTTTTCCCTCCCATTTCAGCATGTCCTATACCCGCTCAGAGGCGTACAGGACCCTGGCACCAGGGAGACAATGTACCATCCTTGAGCCTCATTCACGGCCACAGAAACGCCACAGAAATAGTGCCCCTGACTATTGAGTCACCTACTACTATCACTTGCCTGGACTTTGCCCCACCCTGCTATACAGCAGAACCAGTTGTGGTATCACAGGCCTGGCTGTTGCTTGTACCGTCTCCTGAGAGGCTATCCCCACAACAGTACCTAAAACAGTATTCCTGTTTGAAAGGAGAATATCTACAGGAGACTCCTGCACTGTCAGCCTGCCTCTCCTAGCAATCACCCATCTATCTGTCTGGACCTGTGGTGTGACCACCTCCCTAAAGCT